GCTGAGCTGAGCTGGCAAAGAGAGGGAGCCTCGGCCGAACCTGGCGACTCCGACCGGCTCTCCAAGGGCCGAGTGGGCACACCCGAAGGTGAAATTACGAAGGACTAAAGCAGGAGGAGACGTCGGGATGGAAATGGAGAGGCGATACAGGGTGGCAATGAAGCTGCCGTCTCCGTCGGCATAGTAAAAGGATGGGCAAGAGAAGGAGGCGCAGTCTGGAGATTTCGCTGGACTCAAGGGGGCAGCGAGCAGCAGCGCAGAGGTCGGAGGAGGAGAGAGAGGAGTGAGCGGCCGCGCATGCAGGTGGAGGAAAGGTTGAGGGCAACGACAGGGTTGTGGCGGTTGGGGTTGGGCTTGCCCTCGCAGAGGATGCAGTTGAAAGGAGCGCAAGGGAACCAGACGAGGTCGCTGCTAACTGTCCATGAAGATGTAGTTCAAAGCTACGTTGTCTTCTCGCTGTAGCCGAAAGCTTGAACGATTTGAATATTGATTGAAGCATTCATTGCCGCGGCTCCTCAGCGTTCCTGAGACGCGCATTTCTTGCTCTGCTTCTCTTTGTTCTCCGGCGGTGAGAACTGAAGATCTGAGATCTCGTCTAAAAATTTCCATCGCCAGTTGTGGTTCTGTTCGTAGACGGTGGTGAGGTCTCCGGTCACCAAATCGAGCGTCGCCGATAAACCAGGTACTCCCGATTATACTCTGTTTTGATGAATGGAAAAGAACCGAAATGATATACTCTGAATCAATCCGGAATCGACTCCATCCATTCGAGTGTAATTTTTTTAGCAATTACAGACATCGTTGGCTGATTTTTTTTTAGGATTTGGTCTCTAATCCAGGGTCATTGTGCTTTGCTGTCATTCCATCACTGATTGCATATAACGTGCTTGATAAAATGCCTCTGAGAATATGAATCCAAATTGGTCCGAGATTTTACCTGACTTGAAAATTTGCTCAACATGTTGATATAGATAGCTTAGTAGCGATTGATTTGTTATAATCCCAACTTAATCTCACTCATATTCATCATCACTGAAGACGAATCTGATCATTTCATTTTTATCCTTTGGTGCTCGGTGTGCTCTCGCGGTGATTGAATGGCCGCCGTCGGAGAGGAGAACAAGCCAAAGTTATTAATGTGCACCATGGCCGATCTCTGATTGTTCCATATTATATTAGTCGGCTCGCCGCCGACGATGGCTATGGCGTCGGTCTGGTGGTCGAAGGTGATTGCTACTTGGACTTGCAAAGTCCATCCTCGATTGTGATACGCGGACCGGGCTCAAAGGCCTGGCCTGCGCCCTTATGGAATCCTTGTTAGGCATTATCCGCATTTCTGAATAAATAAAAATAAAAATAAATCCGAAAATAGAAGAAAAATTAGAAAATTGGTTAGAAAAATAAATCTTTTTAGGTTGTTAGATTTTAGCATTACAATTAATTTAGTTTCATTTATATAATACTTACGAAAATTCATGACTTTCTCTGGTTTTTTTTTTGGTCAGATACTTTCTCTAGTTTAGACATAAGAAATTTAGTTTCTTTAGAAAATTGAATTTGATTTGAACTAAGCTCATGGAGGTTGCTGTCCCGGGCTTAATAACGAGGCCGTGTCATATTATTTGCCCGACTCTTATCAGGTTACCTTACTGCGCTTTACCCTTTTAGTCGCTCTTCATTACTTTCTTATAACAATTGATTGTGATTCTTTTATATTGTTTTCCTATGTTGTGATTTGCTTTCTTTAGCCGAATGGTTAGGTTACCGTTTCTAGGATCATAATAAACACCAATAAAAAATCTCATGGACACCTAACAGGCGAGATCTTATGATTCATAATTTTGTAAAAAGACTGCTTGGACTAACAAATAATCAAGTTTAGGTATCGAAGATCATTAGTTAGATAACTAGCGTAATCAAGTCCCCGACCCTACATTTCTGGTTGTGTAGGAAGTGAGGTATGCTCCTATAACTCATTTGGTTTCTAGCCCACCCCACTAGGCTAGTAGCGACACCTCATTTATAATTCTTGTAGGATTAATTGAAACTAAAATTGACTATTCAAATGTCGCGCAAGGTAAGGGTTTAGGAGAACCCGTGTCGAGTGAGGACCGTTGGTCCACCTTTGGCATTACTTCTAAGCCCGTCCTTTCACCGACGGAAAGAGGGTGATGATGATTAGGTCCTTTGTTCTTCTTTGCATAAATAGGATAGACCATCAAGCCATTAACTCAAATAAGCAAACAATCACAGCTTCACCGCCAAGTTACCACCTGTCCAATGCAATTTGTACATAGTGGAAAAATTCCAGATCCATCTACAGTTTGCTGCACAAGATACTGATAAAACAATGTTGACACCTAAATTTTGGCTCACCATTTGAAAATATTTGCACAAAAATTACAGATTAATTTTTAACCCCTAAATAAAAAATAATATATTTAGATGGCATAGCATATAGATAGTAGAAGCATTTTCATCGGATCATATGGTTGCATTTAAATTGGACCGGCGACGAATGGATTCAAGTGAGGGAAATTCCAAGTTAATTTGGGCTGCGTCCACAAGAATGTGGAATTCAGCCAAGCCCGTTGAATATTCACCGTAATCTCAAAAATTGCATTGGCGTTGCACCTGTCATGCAAATTGAGAAATCTTTATTCTTTATGGAAGTTAATTGATCCATCAAAATTTTGATGAATAAAGAAAGCGAGCGAGAGACGAGATCAGCAAGATATTAAACACTGAGCTGGAGGAGGGTGCAAAAGGCAACGAGTGGAGATAATATCTTACGGAGAGTTTGGGAAGAATTTTCGCAAGCTGGACTCCATTGAATATTATTATTTGCACGATACGAAGAATATATTTTGATGGTCAAGTAAGTGGAGCCCGGGATACTGGCTATTCAAGGAGCGTACACGGACATGAAGAGGAGGCCACAAAAATTGACATACACGGCCACCATTGAGAGAAAAAGAAAATCGTGAAGAGAAAAACAGGGAGAGAATTCACGGCCAGAAGAGAAAAATCGAGAAAAGTTGTTGAGAGCTGGGAGCATGAAGGCATGAGCGAGCCCCAATCGTCCAGGTAATTCTTGCAGGTTCCTCGGTCACGCATTGCAGCCTTCTCGACTCCCCCAGCCTTGTCACGCCCGGCACTGCTTCACAATAGCCGCGTCGGACACGAGCTGCATCTAAAGAATGTGTTCCCCTTTTTTCGCGATTTCTGGGAATCCGTTTCAGTCATGCCCCAACCGTACAGGACCCGAAGAGAGATCACTATATAAGCCCTTCTTGGACTTGGCACACACCCACCTCAGGGAACCATTAACGGGGGCTCAAAGGTGATGGCCTTCGCGTGATCACATTGTCTTCGGCAGAGCCACATGTCCATTGAAAAGACACATCGTCGATCTCTCGCTGCATCCCTCTCTGCTTGTCCCTCCCCAACCTCCATCTCCCTCCTTAGAAACCTTGTACGGGATCCTCGCCGTCGTCCATCTTTCCTCTGTCCTTTTGTTTTGTCAGTCTGTTTCTGTTCTCGTCGCTGCCCGATGTTATAAAAGGAGGACCTGCGCGCAACACTTGGAGCAAATATTAACCGAGAACGATGCCTCCATCACTGGCCCAGTGGCTCTGCCTCGTGGCCGTGATCTGGCTCCAGACCATCGCTGGGACGAACACCAACTTCCCGGCATACTCCTCGCAGTCGCAGCTCAAGCAAGTCCTCTACATCTCCCAGGTCCAGCTCAACAACCTCGCCTTCGCCTCCGACGCGGGCAAGCTGTTGGGGTGGTTCTCGGGATCGCTGCGGTGTACCTCCCGCTCGGCTCGTCCTCTGGTGGGCGCGTTGCTTGGGCTTGCCGGGAACGGCATCCAGTACCTCTTCGTGTCTGGCAAGGTCACCTCGGTCTCGTACCCCGGGATGTTTCTCCTTGCCGTCCTCGCCGGGAAAAGCATCTGCTGGATCAACACGGTGTGCTACGTGGTCGCGATCGACAACTTCCCGCTCCACCGCCGCCTTTTGTCGGGCTCACCACCATCTACCAAGGGGCGAGCGCGGTGTCTGCACGGATATAGTTGACGCCGCACTCAACAAGCGCGGCGGGACTGGGGCTAGAGCTAAAGCATATCTGCTTCTCAATTGAGTCCTGCCAATGGCCGTGTCGCTAGCCACCGCGCCTTTAGTTCGGGTTGTCAATGCGAGACGGTCCAGGGCGGGCAAAAATGCGCACGGCCATTGGCGGGACCGAATTGAGAAGTGATATGCTTTAGCTCTAGCCCCGCCTACGCCGCGCTTGTTGAGTGCGGCGTCCACTATATCCGTGTAGACACCGGCGCTCAAAATTTGGAGATGGTGGTGAGCCCGACGGCGAGCCGGTGGAGCGGAAGTTGTCGATCGCACCACGTAGCCTCACCTGGTAGATGGTGGAGTTCATCAACTAGTCCATAGTTTGAAGTGGACGGACAACCATGGCATTTGCACATAAATGTCTTGCTTGATCGGGTGTGGACTTTAAGTCTAGACTTCATGGCATTCAGCATTAATTGTCCTTATTTCCTAGCTAGTGAAAACACATGCGAGCCAGGCCGCTCGAAGGCAGGGAGGGATCGAAGCCTGATAAGAGAAGAGATTTCTACAAGAGATGTTAGGCACGTTCTCCATAAGAGATTTCTATGCATACGAAGATAAGATATTGTTCAGTGCATGTCGATTATAAGAAACTGTTTTCACGTATGTGCTTGCATCGGATGACATAATATTACATTACTCGAAGAAATTCGCCGTATGAATTATCGCTGTCTTGCATTTTTGTCCGTCCACTTTTAGGTGAAAAGTTGGCTCTTTTGTTCCAATGTTGGAGCGAGGATCAATGTCTGTTACATTTGAACGGACACTAAAGCTTTTGGGACAACGTTCTTTAACGTCCTGACACTTTAAGTCATGGTCCAAAAGCTAAACCATAAAGTGAATATTTTTCTTTTTCTTCCTGTTTCAGCAGAAAGTACGTGGTGTCGAGACCGGCATCAATGGCGGTACTGATGGCACCGATGGTCGGTGCCTACTTGCTGCTACTCAGCCCTGCCACGGCGGCTCTCTACGTGAGCACCGCCATCATCGGCATCTGCACTGGGGCCATCACGTCCATCTCCGTGGCGACCACCACTGAGCTCTTCGGGACCAAGAACTTCGGTGTGAACCACAACATCCTTGTCACCAACATCCCGATTGGGTCCTTCGTCTTCGGATACGCCGCGGCGTTGCTCTACCGCAGCCGGCGAGGCGGCGACGGGAAGTGCATGGGGATGGAGTGTTATAGCACGACGTTTGTCATCTTGGTTCACGCCGAAGTTCTTGGTCCCGAAGAGCTCGGTGGTGGTCACCACAGAGATGGACGTGATGGCCCCAGTGCAGATGCCGATGATGGCGGTGCTCACGTACAACAACATCCTTGTCACCAACATCCCGATTGGGTCCTTCGTCTTTGGATATGCCGCGGCGTTGCTCTACCGCAGCCAGCGAGGCGGCGACGGGAAGTGCATGGGGATGGAGTGTTATAGCACGACGTTTGTCATCTGGGGATGTCTGTGCTTACTCGGGGCTGTCCTAGCTTTAGTCTTGTACGCACGTACGCGCAAGTTTTATTCAAGAAGTATAGAGAAGTAGTAGCTAACTAAACGAATGCACTCTTCAATACGAGTTAGGATACACACCTTTTCTTTTATTTTGCCAAATATCTTCGCTCAAGGAAAAAAAAATTCCTGGACATGTATGTATGTGTTATTGATCGAGAAATCGGCATTATATAATTCACCTAATCTAAGATACAAGTGTTTTTTTGGTCGGAATCTAAAGTGCAAGTTCAATGTGCGGTTTTTGAACATTGGGGTATTAATCGGACTGTTACCATGTCACTAAAAGAAAAACACAAGTATTGCATTGACACTATTTATGATACTCGACTCGATAACTCGATACAATGGCCATATAGTCTTACGGGCCCACATGATAATGCACATGACTACTAAGATACTTTAGCGTGGACGCAACTTCTCTTTAAATCTCACGTAATGAATTATGAGTAATATGATATATTATTTATTGCTTTTCAACCATACTAATTTGTCGAGTGATAATTCTTTGTGTTCGTACCTCACAGCATTATCCTAAAAAAAACTGATCTTTTGACTCATTGACTATTGTTTTTATGCTGCTCGCTTGAACAGGACAATAAAACGTGCCACGATTCCAACCACAACATACAATCCCAACTAGAAAATCGAATTTGCACTAACAAATACCATACATATGTCTCGATGAGATGCATTCGTCACAATTTTATTTCTCCCTAATAAGCTCGAAATGATTCATAAGAAAGTAATAATGATAGCAAAACTCATCTAACCTTACGAGGCATTACGCGTGCTCGATTTGGATATACTAGGTTTTGAGATTCAAATCACGAAATATCTTCCGGCTATAATCGAGTCGGGGATCACGTTCCTTAAACGTGCGTGCATATCCATGAGATCAATCGAGACGAAGAGCTCGGTTATCATTTGATCGCGATATTGAGAGAGTGAGAATTTTTGGACTCTGACTTATGTGCATGAGGCTGAGATTGAACCGTGGACTCGTCGGATATCTCCGACCCCAGCTCACGGGACCGCAAGCAGCCCCTCTCTTGTCCAAAGCATCTCATCCGTGACATCTCACTCCTGACGTCATAATTGATGTGATCTCCTCCTTGTCCCATCCCTTTTTTTCTTAATTTAATTAATCTATTTATTGTTGCTTTTGGGAGTGCGTGTGTACAGGCCGGAACACAAATTGATATTTCACTAGGATTTAATTAAGCTACGTTGTTACGAGGCTTTATGTAGTTGCATGTCGTGTTATAGCAACATTTTGTTCACCCGGCGGACCGTATTATATAATGCGGAGCGAAAGGGACGGGATGATCGGATGTTTTATTTACATCATCTACGAAAATATTCGGACATAAATCGTTGTCGACCGTTAAATCATTTCCATTGGCTAATTATTTCGGGCGATATGAACGATTATTTTAGGGAAATATTTTTGCAGATCATTCATTTTTCGCGAAAATAAACGCATCTGTAAGTTATAATTTCACACTAAAATTCGAGAAAACTTGGTAATTTGAAGCCCATCATTCTATTGCCACGCTACCTAAATTCAGGTGGGCAGTTGGCAAGAGTGAATATCTTGAAAATAAAAGTGTACCTAATGTATGTGATTGCGACACCGAAGTGTCTCGATGACCATAGAAAACCGAGGCACACTTTGTCATTCACTTTTATCTTTGTAAGGCGTGTAATTACTTGCTTTTAAAGTGGAAACTGTCCTCTCATCGAGCATGCTTTCACTTGTAAAATGTAAAACGATTCTGCTTTTAAAGTGTACAGGGTTCTTGATTTCGGCAAGAGAGGTCGTTTCGTTACGCCGATGGACGCGAGAGTTTCCGTTTCATGATCGCCCCGCGTAGAACGAAATTTCACGACGACACGGTGGCGACTCGTTTCTCCGAAGGATGAAAAAGCACGTCGCGCAGAATCCTGTGAAACTTCTCCTTTTCCCCCTTTTTGCACAAAAGCTTTTATATGTGAGTGCACGACTAATAAAGAGACTTTAGGCAAAAAGAAAAGGGTTTAGCGGGAACAAAAATTGGCCTCGCATTCCTAATTCTCTAGGTATATTTTTATTTCCCATGAAGAGGGAATATCCTTCAGAAGTTTTTCATTTTAGTGACCCTGAGGTTCGGATAATAACCGAAATGAAATCTTTCAAGAACATGCTTAGATCCACATTACTAATAAAGAGAATTTAGGTAAATGAAAAGGGTTTATTGGGACAAAAATTGGCCTCGTACATTCAATTCTCCGGTATCTTTTTCTTTCCCATCGAGAGGGAATACCCTATGTAAATTTTTTATCCCCAATGATCTCAAAATTCGGACGAGGACCAAGAGAGAATATTTTAAGGATGTACTTAGGTCCACATGACTAATGAAAAAACTTTAGGGGAAAAAGAAAAAGGGTTGAAGTGGGAACAAAGATTTATGTACCGTGGGGAGATGCGCTCCCGAAGAGGTAAATATATTTCCGGAAACCTAGATCGTTTTTAGTCTTGTGTGCTGCCTAGATTATTGTTTTCGCTGGAACGGCTTGGGAAAACATGTTGTTTTCACTCCAAACAGGCAATGTAATTGCACGAATACTTTGACAAGCACAAGCTATCGAGTCGAGATTTCATTTCCTCAATAGAGATTTGCACAAACTCTCTCGTCAGAACGAGTTTGCTTCCTTGCAGGAACCCGAGCCCCCCGCCCGCATAGAACGCACGCGAACCCTACTTCCTTCGTTCACACACGAACCCAACTCGACGCTTCGATGGACCCTGATGGGTTTTGTAAATAAATGGGCCGCCCATGATGGGCTAACCCAGCCCATTAACCTTGAAAGAGCCCATGAAAGAAAACAACCGCAAATAACAATTATTTCGTGAGAACAAAAGTGAGAAGAAGAAGAAAAACTTACCTGTATTTCTGTAAGTGAATTTGGTTCACTATTACAAACTCTCACTCACTTGAAATCAAAAAGCGACTTTACTCGACAATTAAAGTAGGCAAAGGCCATGGGCGAAGGTGGCCTTGCCCACGGCTGGCCAGGCCATGTCCGCCTTTGCCCCTTGGCCGGTGAGGTTGGGTGAGATTGTCTTGTGCCCAAATCGCGAGGCGCGGCCATGGGGGAAGGCAGCCATGGCCTCGTCGGCCATTGTGGGGAAAAAAAAAAGGAAAAGAAGGAAGAAAAGAAAAAAGAAAAAATAAAAAAATTTGAAAAAAAAAAATTATTAAAAATTATTACATTAGCATTGGCCGTGCACGTAGGACGATTTATTGCACTTCTCCAATTGATTCCAATATGAACACTATCAACAATACTTTCCCCTGAAAATATTCACTAATTTGATCAACTATTCCTTCACTGCTGTACCAAAAGGAAGCTGTACAGTAACAGGAACTTTACACCGACTTCACATTTCCCCTCCACCGGCTTGGAACGCTCGAAAGGAGTAAATTATCTTATTCACCTGGGATCAAATGATCCTGACCGGTGACCGTCGACCGTAGACCGAATGTCAATGCAGCCGTGTGCCTAGTGTTGGTTGATGCCGTTCCACAGGGACCCGCAGCGCCGTCAGGCAAACCTGACCCTTTGCTTCTCCAGGTCGTAAACCACCTCAAAACCCTGTTGCTGATAATTCCCCATGGTTGCCTCGGGCCTGTCTTCCGCCTCGGCCTCATCCCCACCGTTCATCACCATCAAGCACCCAACTCGCGACCGCCTCCTGCTGCCGTTGCCACCGTCCATGAAGTCGTAGAGATAATTCCTCCTGGGAAGCACCACCTCTGGACCCCTGCCCCACGAAATGCAATGTAACAGGAGGCGCGCTCGTCATTGCGTCGCTGTCGAAGTAGCAGCACGGGCTCAGCCCGGTCTCGTCTTCTATTTCTCTCGCTTGCTTATGGACTCGGCTGAGCCGTCGCTCAAACTTGGCGACCAACGAGCCGTACAGGCCCGCAGGCAGCATGGTGAACGTCGTCCCCGAGTCGACCACCATTCTGCCATTCCCGTGGCCGTCCACTGCCCTCAATTTCTCCGCCGCCGGAATATGCTTCCGGTCCACGGATATCCCCTGCAGCCTGATGCAGTAGAAGTACCGATGCTTCGGGTTGTCGAGCATCTCGGCTACACGAACTCCGCCTCGTCGTTGCTAAACGCTTTCTCCTTCCGCCCTAGGATGAGAGGGCTCGGCCGGCAAACTCGGTCCAGCTCGAAAGAGTGAGACACCAAACAATAAGAAAACCGGTTGCCCAACAAGGGTTAACAAGCGAGCGAGCTGGCAAAGAAAGGGAGCCTCGGCCGAACCCGGCGACTCCGACCGGCTCTCCAAGGGCCGGGTGGGCACACCCGAAGGTGAAATTACGAAGGACTAAGGCAGGAGGAGACGTCGGTATGGAAATGGAGTGGCGATACAGGGTGGCAGTGAAGCTGCCGTCTCCGTCGGCATAGTAAAAGGATGGGCAAGAGAAGGAGGCACAGTCTGGAGATTTTGTTGGACTCAAGGGGGCAGCAAGCAGCAGCGCAGAGGTCGGAGGAGGAGAGAGAGGAGTGAGCGGCCGCGCATGCAGGTGGAGGAAAGGTTGAGGGTAACGACGGGGTTGTGGCGGTTGGGGTTGGGGTTGGGCTTGCCCTCGCAGAGGATGCAGTTGAAAGGAGCGCAAGGGAACCAGACGAGGTCGCTGCTAACTGTCCATGAAGATTTAGTTCAAAGCTACGTTGTCTTCTCGCTGTAGGCTGTAGCCGAAAGCTTGAACGATTTGAATATTGATTGAAGCATTCATTGCCGCGGCTCCTCAGCGCTCCTAAGACGTGCATTTCTTGCTCTGCTTCTCTTTATTCTCCGTCGGTGAGAAATGAAGATCTGAGATCTCGTCTAAAAATTTCCATCGCCAGTTGTGGTTCTGTTCGAAGACGGTGGTGAGGGCTGCGGTCACCAAAGCGAGCGTTACTGATAAACCAGGTACTCCCGATTATACTCTGTTTTGATGAATGGAACAGAAGCGAAATGATATACTCTGAATCAATCTGGAATCGACTCCATCCATTCGAGTGTATTTTTTTTAGCAATTACAGACATCGTTGGCTGATTTTGTTTTGGATTTGGACTCTAATCAAGGGTCATTGTGCTTTTCTGTCATTCCTTCACTGATTGCATATAACGTGCTTGATAAAATGCCTCTCAGAATATGAATCCAAATTAGTCCGAGATTTTGCCTGACTTGAAAATGTGCTCAACATGTTGATATAGATAGCTTGTGAGTGATTGATTTGTTATCGTCCCAACTTAATCTCACTCATATTCATCATCACCGAAGATGAATCTGATCATTTCATTTTTTATCCTTTGGTGCTCGGTGTGCTCTCGCGGTGATTGAATTGCCGCCGTCGAAGAGGAGAACAAGCCAAAGTTATTAATGTGCACCATGGCCGATCTCTGTTTGTTCCATATTAGTCGGCTCGCCGGTGACGATGGCTATGGCGTCGGTCTGGTGGTCGAAGGTGATTGCTACTTGGACTTGCAAAGTTCATCCTCGATTGTGATACGCGGACCGAGCTCAAAGGCCTGGCCTGCGTCCTTGTGAAATCCTTGTTAGGCATTATCCGCATTTCTAAATAAATAAAAATAAATCCAAAAAATAGAAGAAAAATTAGAAAATTGATTAGAAAAATAAATCTTTATTAGGCTGTTAGATTTTAGCATTAGAATTAATTTAGCTTCATTTATATAATACGTACGAAAATTCATGACTTTCTCTCGTTTGTTTTTTTTTTGTCAGATACTTTCTCTAGTTTAGATATAAGAAATTTAGTTTCTTTAGAAAATTGAATTTGATTTAAACTAAGCTCATGGAGGTTGCTGTCTCGGGCTTAATAACGAGGCCGTGTCATATTATTTGGCCAACCCTTATCGGGTTACCTTACTGCACTTTACCTTTTTTCTCACTCTTCATTACTTTCTTATACCAATTGATTGTGATTCTTTTATATTTTTTTCCTATGTTGTGATTTGCTTTCTTTAGCCGAATGGTTAGGTTACCGTTTCTAGGATCATAATAAACACCAATAAAAAATCTCATGGACACCTAGCAGGCGAGATCTTAGGATTCATAATTTTGTAAAAAGACTGCTTGGACTAACAAATAATCAAGTTTAGGTATCGAAGAGCATTAGTTAGAATTGGCGTAATCAAGTCCCCGACCCTACATTTCTGGTTGTGTACGAAGTGAGGTATACTCCTATAACTCATTTGGTTTTTAGCTCACCCCACTAGGCTAGTAGCGACTCCTCATTTATAATTCTTGTAGGATTAATTGAAACTAAAATTGACTATTCAAATGTCGCGCAAGGTAAGGATTTAGGAGAACCCATGCCGATTGAGGACCGTTGGTCCATCTTTGACATTACTTCTAAACCCGTCCTTTCACCGACGGAAAGTGGGTGATGATGATTAGGTCCTTTGCTCTTCTTTGCATAAATAGGATAGACCATCAAGCCATTGTTCAAGTGAGACCCATCATTAACTCAAATCAGCAAACAATCGCAGCTTCACCGCCAAGTTACCACCTGTCCAATGCAATTTGTACAGAGTGGAAAAATTCCAGATCCATCTACAGTTTGCTGCACAAGATACTGATAAAACAATGTTGACACCTAAATTTTGGCTTACCATTTGAAAATATTTGCACAAAAATTACAGATTAATTTTTAACCCCTAAATAAAAAATAATATATTTAGATGGCATAGCATATAGATAGTAGAAGCATTTTCATCGGCTCATATGGTTGCATTTAAATTGGACCGGCGACGAATGGATTCAAGTGAGGGAAATTCCGAGTTAATTTGTGCTAAGTCCACAAGAATGTGGAATTCAGCCAAGCCCGTTGAATATTCACCATAATCTCAAAAATTGCATGGGCGTTGCACCTGTCAAGCAAATTGAGAAATCTTTACTCTTTATGGAAGTTAATTGATCCATCAAAATTTTGATGAATAAAGAAAGCGAGCGAGAGACGAGATCAGCAAGATATTAAACACTGAGCTGGAGGAGGGTGCAAAAGGCAATGAGTGGAGATAATATCTTACGGAGAGTTTGGGAAGAATTTTCGCAAGCTGGACTCCATTGAATATTATTATTTGCACGATACGAAGAATATATTTTGATGATCAAGTGGAGCCCGGGATACTGGCTATTTAAGGAGCGTACACGGACATGAAGAGGAGGCCACAAAAATTGACATACACGGCCACCATTGAGAGAAAAAGAAAATCGTGAAGAGAAAAACAGGGAGAGAATTCACGGCCAGAAGAGAAAAATCGAGAAAAGTTGTTGAGAGCTGGGAGCATGAAGGCATGAGCGAGCCCCAATCGTCCAGGTAATTCTTGCAGGTTCCTCGGCCACACATTGCAACCTTCTCGACGCCCCCAGTCCAGATCACCGTCCTGGCTTGGCGTCCCCAGCCTTGTCACGCCCAGCACTGCTTCACAATCGCCGCGTCGGACACGAGCTGCATCCTTGCGAGCCACGTCACACCGCTCCTTGCTGCCTCTGCATGATTGGTCCTGTTTTGCACTCACCCCACCTGATCCGACGAATCTCCGACGCTCCAAGCAGCCACGTTCAGTTCTTCTCCCTTGCAGGTTTTGACCTTCCAGCCCGGCGATCTGCATATTCCTGCCTTATCTCACCGTGAACACCTTGGCATCGTTTATACATCTCGTTCAAGCATTGTGCCGGTGACCCTTGGTGGGAATCTTAACCGAGCATCAAAGCGGTGGTCACGTGGTCAGAATTCTTGAGCATGCAACGTGGGTTCTAAGGGAATAAGAAGAAGACAAATCGCCGGGAAAGTCTAGCATTCGCCCACTGAGATTGTTCAGTCAATCTCATTCGTGGGAACAAATCCCTTCGTATTAGGATGATCGGTTGCGATCCGGTCCGGCTCCAAAGGTGAAACTGGGGAACCGGAAATGGAACGGATCACTTTTTTTATTTTTTTCCCACCACAACGAAAGAGAGTGACAAATTTTCAAAACGACGATGAGTGGAGATTTATTGTGGTGCTGGGAAAGTTTAGTTCACATTTTACAAACTTTTTTGAAGAAATTAAAAATAAAAAAAATATATGTAGTCGGTCTGGTCCGGACCGCCACGACACCGGTTTCACTTTTAGACGGTTTCACTTTTAGGAACCGGGAACCGGACCGACACTCTCATGAACCGATCAAACTGGTTGGTCCAGTCCGGTCTAGGCGGTTCCCAGTTTGGGTAGTCCGTTTTGCACACCGCTACTTCGCATCCGTTGTCATCGTGCCAGCCACTTGCCCTTCGACTCCACGAGCCCGTGAGTCACCGCTACGTTCACCACCGATATGCACTCCCCGGCCAGACACCATCATTAGCCAAGTTGCGAGCAAATGCGAGGCAATCTTCCTTGGCTAAACCACCACCGCCGGCCACTATCGTCCCGTGTCGTCCATCGAGTTCGAATTTGAAAACATTATCTGCGAAATAGGTAATAATATTTTTCCAATTTGTTATTCTTTATTTATTGCCTAATTTGCATCATCGATATCTAACCGGATTCCTTTGAGTGATGAGGCATTATCAATTAGGATTTATTTCCTAATCCGCAACGTGATAAAAGTTTTTGATTCTATCTGTAAGCATTTAGATATAATTATTGGATTATACGATTCAAAAATCGATATCTTGGATGTTTTCTGTTGATTGAATACATACTTTGATTGATTGGATGTCATCTAGAGAATGTGTTTCCCTTTTTCCGCGATTTCTGGGAATCCGTTTCAGTCATGCCCCAACCGCACAGGGCCCGAAGTTGTTGGACTTGGTACCATGCTTTTCCCGTTTTTCCGTGATTTCTGGGAATCCCTCTCTGCTTGTCCCTCCCCAGCCTCCATCTCCCACCTTAGAAACCTTGTACGGGATCCTCGCCGTCGTCGATCTTTCCTCTGTCCTTTTGTTTTGTTAGTCTGTATCTGTTCTCGTCGCTGCCCGATGTTATAAAAGGAGGACCTGTGCGCAACACTTGGAGCAAATATTAACCGAGAACGATGCCTCCATCACTGGCCCAGTGGCTCTGCCTCGTGGCCGTGATCTGGCTCCAGACCATCGCTGGGACGAACACCAACTTCCCGGCATACTCCTCGCAGCTCAAGCAAGTCCTCTCCATCTCCCAGGTCCAGCTCAACAACCTCGCCTTCGCCTCCGACGCGGGCAAGCTGTTGGGGTGGTTCTCGGGGATCGCTGCGGTGTACCTCCCGCTCTGGCTCGTCCTCCTGGTGGGCGCGTTGCTTGGGCTTGTCGGGAACGGCATCCAGTAACTCTTCGTGGCTGGCAAGGTCACCTCGGTCTCGTACCCCGGGATGTTTCTCCTCGCCGTCCTCGCCGGGAACAGCATCTGCTGGATCAACACGGTGTGCTACGTGGTCGCGATCGACAACTTCCCGCTCCACCGCCATCTCGCCGTCGGGCTCACCACCATCTAAAGCTTTTGGGACAACGTTCTTTAACGTCCTGAGACTTTAAGTCATGGTCCAAAAGCTAAATCATAAAGTGAACATTTTTCTTTTTCTTCCTGTTTCAGCAGAAAGTACGTGGTGTCGAGACCGGCATCAATGGCGGTACTGAGGGCACCGATGGTCGGTGCCTACTTCCTGCTCCTCAGCCCTGCCACGGCGGCACCATAATCGGCATCTGCACTTGGCCATCACGTCCATCTCCGTGGCAATCACCACCGAGCTCTTCGGGACCAAGAACTTCGGCGTGAACCAAGATGAAAAACGTCGTGCTATAACGACGGGAAGTGCATGGGGATGGAGTGTTATAGCACGACGTTTGTCATCTTGGTTCACGCCGAAGTTCTTGGTCCCGAAGAGCTCGGTGGTGGTCGCCACGGAGATGGACGTGATGGCCCCAGTGCAGATGCCGATGATGGCGGTGCTCACGTACCACAACATCCTTGTCACCAACATCCCGATTGGGTCCTTCGTCTTCGGATATGCCGCGGCGTTGCTCTACCGCAGCCGGCGAGGCGGCGACGGAAAGTGCATGGGGATGGAGCGTTATAGCACGACGTTTGTCATCTGGGGATGTCTGTGCTTACTCGGGACTGTCCTAGCTTTAGTCTTGTACGCACGTACGCGCAAGTTTTATTCAAGAAGTATAGAGAAGTAGTAGCTAACTAAACGAATGCACTCTTCAATACGAGTTAGGATATACACCTTTTCTTTTATTTTGCCAAATATCTTCGCTCAAGGAAAAAAATATTCCTGGACATATATGTATGTGTTATTGATCGAGAAATCGGCATTATATAATTCACCTAATCTAAGATACAAGTGTTTTTTTTGGTCGGAATCTAAAGTGCAAGTTCAATGTGCGGTTTTTGAACATTGGGGTATTAATCGGACTGTTACCATGTCACTAAAAGAAAAACACAAGTATTGCATTGACACTACTTATGATACTCGACTCGATAACTCGATACGATGGCCAGATAGTCTTACGGGCCCACATGATAATGCACATGACTACTAAGATACTTTAGCGTGGACGCAACTTCTCTTTAAATCTTACGTAATGAATTATGAGTAATATGATATATTATTCATTGCTTTTCAACCATACTAATTTGTCGAGTGATAATTCTCTGTGTTCGTACCTCACAGCATTATCCTAAAAAAAACTGATCTTTTGACTCATTGACTATTGTTTTTATGCTGCTCGCTTGAACAGGACAATAAAACGTGCCACGATTCCAACCACAACATACAATCCCAACTAGAAAATCGAATTTGCACTAACAAATACCATATATATGTCTCGATGAGATGCACTCGCCACAATTTTATTTCTCCCTAGTAAGCTCGAAATGATTCATGAGAAAGTAATAACGATAGCAAAACTCATCTAACCTTACGAGGCATTATGCGTGCTCGATTTGGATGTACTAGGTTTTGAGATTCAAATCACGGGATATCTTCCGGCTATAATCGAGTCGGGGATCACGTTCCTTAAACGTGCGTGCATATCCACGAGATCAATCGAGACGAAGAGCTCGGTTATCATTTGATCGCGATCTTGAGAGAGAGAGAGAGAGTGAGAGTGAGAATTTTTGGACTCTGACTTATGTGCATGAGGCTGAGATTGAACCGTGGACCCGTCGGATATCTCCGACCCCAGCTCACGGGACCGCAAGCAGCCCCCCTCTCGTCCAAAGCATCTCATCCGTGACATCTCACTCCTGACGTCATAATTGATGTGATCTCCTCCTTGTCCCATCCCTTTTTTCTTAATTTAATTAATCTATTTATTGTTGCCTTTGGGAGTGCGTGTGTACAGGCCGGAACACAATTTGACATTTCACTAGGATTTAATTAAGCTACGTTGTTACGAGGCTTTATGTAGTTGCATGTCGTGTTATAGCAACATTTTGTTCACCCGGCGGACCGTATTATATAATGCGGAGCGAAAGGGATGGGATGATCGGATGTTTTATTTACATCATCTACGAAAATATTCGGACATAAATCGTTGTCGACCGTTAAATCATTTCCATTGGCTAATTATTTCGGGCGATATGAACGATTATTTTAGGGAAATATTTTTGCAAATCATTCATTTTCCGCGAAAATAAACGCATCTGTAAGTTATAATTTCACACTAAAATTCGGGAAAACTTGGTAATTTGAAGCCCATCATTCTATTGCCGCGCTACCTAAATTCAGGTGGGCAGTTGGCAAGAGTGAATATCTTGAAAATAAAAGTGTACCTAATGTATGTGATTGCGACGCCAAAGTGTCTCGATGACCATAGAAAACCGAGGCACACTTTATCATTCACTTTTATCTTTGTAAGGCGTGTAATTACTTGCTTTTAAAGTGGAAACTGTCCTCTCATCGAGCATGCTTTCACTCGTAAAATGTAAAAGGATTCTGCTTTTAAAGTGTACATGGTTCTTGATTTCGGCAAGTGAGGTCGTTTCGTTACGCCGATGGACGCGAGAGTTTCCGTTTCATGATCGCCCCGCGTAGAACGAAATTTCACGACGACGCGGTGGCGACTCGTTTCTCCGAAGGATGAAAAAGCACGTCGCGCGGAATCCTGCGAAACTTCTCCTTTGCCCCCTTTTTGCACAAAAGCTTTTATATGTGAGTGCACGACTAATAAAGAGACTTCAGGGAAAAAGAAAAGGGTTTAGCGGGAACAAAAATTGGCCTCGCATTCCTAATTCTCTAGGTATATTTTTATTTCCCATGAAAAGGGAATATCCTTCAAAAATTTTTCATTTTAGTGACCCTGAGGTCCGGATAATAACCGAAATGAAATCTTTTAAGAACATGCTTAGATCCACATTACTAATAAAGAGAATTTAGGTAAATGAAAAGGGTTTATTGGGACAAAAATTGGCCTCGTACCTTCAATTCTCTTGTATCTTTTTCTTCCCATCGAGAGGGAATACCCTATGTAAATTTTTTATCCCCAATGATCTCGAGATTCGGACGAGGACCGAGATAGAACATTTTAAGGATGTACTTAGGTCCGCATGACTAATGAAAAGACTTTAGGGGAAAAAGAAAAAGGGTTGAAGTGGGAACAAAGATTTATGTACCGTGGGGAGATGCGCTCCCGAAGAGGTAAATATATTTCCGGAAACCTAGATCGTTTTTAGTCTTGTGTGCTGCCTAGATTATTGTTTTCGCTGGAACGGCTTGGGAAAACATGTTGTTTTCGCTCCGAACAGGCAATATAATTGCACGAATACTTTGACAAGCACAAGCTATCGAGTCGAGATTTCATTTCCTCAATAGAGATTTGCACAAACTCTCTCGTCAGAACGAGTTTGCTTCCTTGCAGGAACCCGAGCGCCCCCCCCCCCCCCCGGCCCGCATAGGACGCACGCGAACCCTACTTCCTCCGTTCACACACGAACCCAACTCGACGCTTCGATGGACCCTGATGGGTTTTGTGAATAAATGGGCCGCCCATGATGGGCTAACCCAGCCCATTAACCTAGAAAGAGCCCATGAAAGAAAATAACCGTAAATGACAATTATTTCGTGGGAACAAAAGTGAGAAGAAGAAGAAAAACTTACCTGTATTCTGTAAGTGAATTTGGTTCACTATTACAAACTCTCACTCACTTGAAATCAAAAAGCGACTTTACTCGACAATTAAAGTAGGCAAAGGCCATAGGCGAAGGTGGCCTTGCCCACGGCTGGCCAGGCCATGTCCGCCTTTTCCCCTTGGCCGACGAGGTTGGGTGAGATTGTCTTGCGCCCAAATCGCGAGGCGCGGCCATGGGGGAAGGCAGCCATGGCCTCGTCGGCCATTGTGGGGGAAAAAACAAGGAAAAGAAGGAAGAAAAGAAAAAATAAAAAATAAAAAAATTTGAAAAAATAAAATATTATTAAAAATTATTACATTAGCATTGGCCGTGCACGTAGGACGATTTATTGCACTTCTCCAATTGATTCCAATATGAACACTATCAACAATACTTTCCCCTGAAAATATTCACTAATTTGATCAACTAGTCCTTCACTGCTGTACCAAAAGGAAGCTGTACACTAACAGGAACTTTACACCAACTTCACATTTCCCCTCCACCGGTTTGGAACGCTCAAAACAAGTAAATTATCTTATTCACCTGGGATCAAATGACCCTGACCAGTGGCCGTCGACCGTAGACCGAACGTCAATGCAGCCGTGTGCCTAGCGTTGGTTGAGGCTGTTCCACAGGGACTCGCAGCGCCGTCGGGCAAACCCGACTCTTTGCTTCTCTAGGTCGTCAACCACCTCAAAACCCTGTTGCTGATAATTCCCCATGGTTGCCTCGGGCCTGCCTTCCGCCTCGGCCTCATCCCCACCGTTCATCACCATCAAGCGCCCAACTCGCGACCGCCTCCCGCTGCCGTTGCTGCCGTCCATGAAGTCGTAGAAATAATTCCTCCTGGGAAGCACCACACTGGACCTCTGCCCCACGAAATGCAATGTAACAGTAGGCACGCCCGTCATTGCGTCGTTGTCGAAGTAGTAGCACGGGCTCAGCCCGGTCTTGTCTTCTATTTCTCTCGCTTGCTTATGGACTTGGCTGAGCCGTCGCTCAAACTTGGCGACCACCGAGCTGTACAGGCCCGCAGGCAGCATGATGAACGTCGTCCCCGAGTCGACCACCATTCTGCCATTCCCGTGGCCGTCCACTGCCCTCAATTTCTCCGCCGCCGGAATATGCTTCCGGTCCATGGATATCCCCTGCAGCCCGACGCAGTAGAAGTACCGAGTATCTCGGCTGCACGAACTCCCCGCCTCGTCGTTGCTAAACGCTTTCTCCTTCCGCCCTAGGATGAGAGGGCTCGGCCGGCAAACTCGGTCCAGCTCGAAAGAGTGAGACACCAAACAATAAGAAAACCGGTTGCCCAACAAGGGTTAACAAGCGAGCGAGCTGGCAAAGAGAGGGAGCCTCGGCTGAACCTGGCGACTCCGACCGGCTCTCCAAGGGCCGAGTGGGCACACCCGAAGGTGAAATTACGAAGGACTAAGGCAGGAGGAGATGTCGGGATGGAAATGGAGTGGCGATACAGGGTGGCAGTGAAGCTGCCGTCTCCGTCGGCATAGTGAAAGGATGGGCAAGAGAAGGAGGCACAGTCTGGAGATTTTGTTGGACTCAAGGGGGCAGCAAGCAGCAGCGCAGAGGTCGGTGGAGGAGAGAGAGGAGTGAGCGGCCGCGCATGCAGGTGGAGGAAAGGTTGAGGGTAGCGACGGGGTTGTGGCGGTTGGGGTTGGGGTTGGGCTTGCCCTCGCAGAGGATGCAGTTGAAAGGAGCGCAAGGGAACCAGACGAGGTCGCTGCTAACTGTCCATGAAGATGTAGTTCAAAGCTACGTTGTCTTCTCGCTGTAGCCGAAAGCTTGAACGATTTGAATATTGATTGAAGCATTCATTGCCGCGGCTCCTCAGCGTTCCTGAGACGTGCATTTCTTGCTCTGCTTCTCTTTATTCTCCGTCGGTGAGAACTGAAGATCTGAGATCTCGTCTAAAAATTTCCATCGCCAGTTGTGGTTCTGTTCGTAGACGGTGGTGAGGGCTCCGGTCACCAAATCGAGCGTCACTGATAAACCAGGTACTCCCGATTATACTCTGTTTTGATGAATGGAAAAGAACCGAAATGATATACTCTGAATCAATCTGGAATCGACTCCATCCATTCGAGTGTATATTTTTTAGCAATTGCAGACATCATAGGCTGATTTTTTTTTAGGATTTGGTCTCTAATCAAGGGTCATTGTGCTTTTCTGTCATTCCTTCACTGATTGCATATAACGCGCTTGATAAAATGCCTCTCAGAATATGAATCCAAATTGGTCCGAGATTTTGCCTGACTTGAAAATGTGCTCAACATGTTGATATAGATAGCTTGTGAGTGATTGATTTGTTATCGTCCCAACTTAATCTCACTCATATTCATCATCACCGAACACGAATCTGATCATTTCATTTTTGATCCTTTGGTGCTCGGTGTGCTCTCGCGGTGATTGAATGGCCGCCGTCGGAGAGGAGAACAAGCCAAAGTTATTAATGTGCACCATGGCCGATCTCTGATTGTTCCATATTATATTAGTCGGCTCGCCGGCGACGATGGCTATGGCGTCGGTCTGGTGGTCGAAGGTGATTGCTACTTGGACTTGCAAAGTCCATCCTCGATTGTGATACGCGGACCGGGTTCAAAGGCCTGGCCTGCGTCCTTATGAAATCCTTGTTAGGCATTATCCGCATTTCTGAATTAATAAAAATAAAAATAAATCCGAAAAATAGAAGAAAAATTAGAAAATTGGTTAGAAAAATAAATCTTTTTAGGTTGTTAGATTTTAGCATTACAATTAATTTAGCTTCATTTATATAATACGTACGAAAATTCATGACTTTCTCTAGTTTGTTTTTTGGTCAGATACTTTCTCTAGTTTAGATATAAGAATTTAGTTTCTTTAGAAAATTGAATTTGATTTGAACTAAGCTCATGGAGGTTGCTGTCCCGGGCTTAATAATGAGGCCGTGTCATATTATTTGCCCGACTCTTATCGGGTTACCTTACTGCACTTTACCTTTTTACTCACTCTTCATTACTTTCTTATACCAATTGATTGTGATTCTTTTATATTGTTTTCCTATGTTGTGATTTGCTTTCTTTAGCCGAATGGTTAGGTTACCATTTCTAGTATCATAATAAACACCAATAAAAAACCTCATGGACACCTAGTAGGCAAGATCTTAGGATTCATAATTTTGTAAAAAGACTGCTTGGACTAACAAATAATCAAGTTTAGGTATTGAAGAGCATTGGTTAGATAACTAGTGTAATCAAGTCCTCGACCCTACATTTCTGGTCGTGTAGGAAGTGAGGTATGCTCCTATAACTCATTTGGTTTCTAGCCCACCCCACTAGGCTAGTAGCGACTCCTCATTTATAATTCTTGTAGGATTAATTGAAACTAAAATTGACTATTCAAATGTCGCGCAAGGTAAGGGTTTAGGAGAACCCGTGCCGATGGAAGACCGTTGGTCCACCTTTGGCATTACTTCTAAACCCGTCCTTTCACCGATGGAAAGAGGGTGATGACGATTAGGTCCTTTGCTCTTCTTTGCATAAATAGGATAGACCATCAAGCCATTGTTCAAGTGAGACCCATCATTAACTCAAATCAGCAAAAAATCGCAGCTTCACCGCCAAGTTACCACCAATCCAATGCAATTTGTACATAGTGGAAAAATTCCGGATCCATCTACAGTTTGCTGCACGAGATACTGATAAAACAATGTTCACACCTAAATTTTGGCTTACCATTTGAAAATATTTGCACAAAAATTACGGATTAATTTTTAACCCCTAAATAAAAAATAATATATTTAGATGGCATAGCATATAGATAGTAGAAGCATTTTCATCGGCTCATATGGTTGCATTTAAATTGGACTGGCAACGAATGGATTCAAGTGAGGGAAATCCCGAGTTAATTTGTGCTAAGTCCACAAGAATGTGGAATTCAGCCAAGCCCGTTGAATATTCACCATAATCTCAAAAATTGCATGGGCGTTGCACCTGTCATGCAAATTGAGAAATCTTTACTCTTTATGGAAGTTAATTGATCCATCAAAATTTTGATGAATAAAGAAAGCGAGCGAGAGACGAGATCAGCAAGATATTAAACGCTGAGCTGGAGGTGGGTGCAAAAGGCAACGAGTGGAGATAATATCTTACGGAGAGTTTGGGAAGAATTTTCGCAAGCTGGACTCCATTGAATATTATTATTTGCACGATACGAAGAATATATTTTGATGATCAAGTAAGTGGAGCCCGGGATACTGGCTATTTAAGGAGCGTACACGGACATGAAGAGGAGGCCACAAAAATTGACATACACGGCCACCATTGAGAGAAAAAGAAAATCGTGAAGAGAAAAACAGGGAGAGAATTCACGGCCAGAAGAGAAAAATCGAGAAAAGGAGTTGAGAGCTGGGAGCATGAAGGCATGAGCGAGCCCCAATCGTCCAGGTAATTCTTGCAGGTTCCTCGGCCACGCATTGCAGCCCTTCTTGGACTTGGTACAATGCTTTTCCCGTTTTTCCGCGATTTCTGGGAATCCGTTTCAGAACCCAACCGCACAAGGCTCCAAGAGAGATCACTATATAAGCCCTTGTTGGACTTGGCACACACCCACCTCAGGGAACCATTAATGGGGGCTCAAAGGTGATGGCCTTCGCGTGATCACATGTCCATTGAAAAGACACATCGTCGATCTCTCGCTGCATCCCTCTCTGCTTGTCCCTCCCCAACCTCCATCTCCCACCTTAGAAACCTTGTACGGGATCCTCGCCGTCGTCCATCTTTCCTCTGTCCTTTTGTTTTGTCAGTCTGTTTCTGTTCTCGTCGCTGCCCGATGTTATAAAAGGAGGACCTGCGCGCAACACTTGGAGCAAATATTAACCGAGAACGATGCCTCCATCACTGGCCCAGTGGCTCTGCCTCGTGGCCGTGATCTGGCTCCAGATCATCGCTGGGACGAACACCAACTTCCCGGCATACTCCTCGCAGCTCAAGCAAGTCCTCTCCATCTCCCAGGTCCAGCTCAACAACCTCGCCTTCGCCTCCGACGCGGGCAAGCTGTTGGGGTGGTTCTCGGGGATCGCTGCGGTGTACCTCCCGCTCTGGCTCGTCCTCCTGGTGGGCGCGTTGCTTGGGCTTGCCGGGAACGGCATCCAGTACCTCTTCGTGGCTGGCAAGGTCACCTCGGTCTCGTACCCCGGGATGTTTCTCCTTGCCGTCCTCGCCGGGAAAAGCATCTGCTGGATCAACACGGTGTGCTACGTGGTCGCGATCGACAACTTCCCGCTCCACCGCCAGCTCGCTGTCGGGCTCACCACCATCTACCAAGGGCTGAGCGCCAGTGTCTATATAGTTGACGCCGCACTCAACAAGCGCGGCGGGACTGGGGCTAGAGCTAAAAGCATATCTGCTTCTCAATTGAGTCCTGCCAATGGCCGTGTCGCTAGCCACCGCGCCTTTAGTTCGGGTTGTCAATGCAGACGGTCCAGGGGCGGGCAAAAATGCGCACAGCCATTGGCAGGACTGAATTGAGAAGCAGATATGCTTTAGCTCTAGCCCCAGTCACGCCGCGCTTGTTGAGTGCGGCGTCAACTATATCCGTGTAGACACTGGCGCTCAAAATTTGGTAGATGGTGGTGAGCCCGACGGCGAGCTGGCGGTGGAGCGGGAAGTTGTCGATCGCGACCACGTAGCTCAGCTGGTAGATGGTGGAGTTCATCAACTAGTCCATAGTTTGAAGTGGACGGACAACCATGGCATTTGCACGTAAATGTCTTGCTTGATCGGGTGTGGACTTTAAGTCTAGACTTCATGGCATTCAGCATTAATTGTCCTTATTTCCTAGCTAGTGAAAACACATGCGAGCCAGGCCGCTCTGAAGGCAGGAGGGACTGAAGCCTGATAAGAGAAGAGATTTCTACAAGAGATGTTAGGCACGTTCTCCATAAGAGATTTCCATGCATACGAAGATAAGATATTGTTCAGTGCATGTCGATTATAAGAAACTGTTTTCACGTATGTGCTTGCATCGGATGACATAATATTACATTACTCGAAGAAATTCGCCGTATGAATTATCGCTGTCTTGCATTTTTGTCCGTCCACTTTTAGGTGAAAAGTTGGCTCTTTTGTTCCAATGTTGGAGCGAGGATCAATGTCTGTTACATTTGAACGGACACTAAAGCTTTTGGGACAACGTTCTTTAACGTCCTGAGACTTTAAGTCATGGTCCAAAAGCTAAATCATAAAGTGAACATTTTTCTTTTTCTTCCTGTTTCAGCAGAAAGTACGTGGTGTCGAGACCGGCATCAATGGCGGTACTGATGGCACCGATGGTCGGTGCCTACTTCCTGATCCTCAGCCCTGCCACGGCGGCGCTCTACGTGAGCACCGCCATCATCGCCATCTGCACTGGGCCATCACGTCCATCTCCGTGGCGACCACCACCGAGCTCTTCGGGACCAAGAACTTCGGCGTGAACCACAACATCCTTGTCACCAACATCCCGATTGGGTCCTTCGTCTTCGGATACGCCGCGGCGTTGCTCTACCGCAACCGGCGAGGCGGCGACGGGAAGTGCATGGGGATGGAGTGTTATAGCACGACGTTTGTCATCTTGGTTCACGCCGAAGTTCTTGGTCCCGAAGAGCTCGGTAGTGGTCGCCACGGAGATGGACGTGATGGCCCCAGTGCAGATGCCGATGATGGCGGTGCTCACGTACCACAACATCCTTGTCACCAACATCCCGATTGGGTCCTTCGTCTTCGGATACGCCGCGGCGTTGCTCTACCGCAGCCGGCGAGGCGGCGACGGGAAGTGCATGGGGATGGAGTGTTATAGCACGATGTTTGTCATCTGGGGATGTCTGTGCTTACTCGGGACTGTCCTAGCTTTAGTCTTGTACGCACGTACGCGCAAGTTTTATTCAAGAAGTATAGAGAAGTAGTAGCTAACTAAACGAATGCACTCTTCAATACGAGTTAGGATATACACCTTTTCTTTTATTTTGCCAAATATCTTCGCTCAAGGAAAAAAATATTCCTGGACATGTATGTATGTGTTATTGATCGAGAAATCGGCATTATATAATTCACCTAATCTAAGATACAAGTGTTTTTTTTGGTCGGAATCTAAAGTGCAAGTTCAATGTGTGGTTTTTGAACATTGAGGTATTAATCAGACTGTTACCATGTCACTAAAAGAAAAACGTATTGCATTGACACGACTTATGATACTCGACTCGATAATTCGATACGATGGCCAAATAGTCTTACGGGCCCACATGATAATGCACATGACTACTAAGATACTTTAGCGTGGACGCAATTTCTCTTTAAATCTTAGGTAATGAATTATGAGTAATATGATATATTATTCATTGCTTTTCAACCGTACTAATTTGTCGAGTGATAATTCTTTGTGTTCGTACCTCACAGCATTATCCTAAAAAAAACTGATCTTTTGACTCATTGACTATTGTTTTTATGCTGCTCGCTTGAACAGGACAATAAAACGTGCCGCGATTCCAACCACAACATACAATCCCAACTAGAAAATCGAATTTGCACTAACAAATACCATATATATGTCTCGATGAGATGCACTCGCCACAATTTTATTTCTCCCTAGTAAGCTCGAAATGATTCATGAGAAAGTAATAATGATAGCAAAACTCATCTAACCTTACGAGACATTATGCGTGCTCGATTTGGATGTACTAGGTTTTGAGATTCAAATCACGGGATATCTTCCGGCTATAATCGAGTCGGGGATCACGTTCCTTAAACGTGCGTGCATATCCACGAGATCAATCGAGACGAAGAGCTCGGTTATCATTTGATCGCGATCTTGAGAGAGAGAGAGAGAGAGAGAATTTTTGGACTCTGACTTATGTGCATGAGGCTGAGATTGAACCGTGGACCCGTCGGATATCTCCGACCCCAGCTCACGGGACCGCAAGCAGCCCCCCTCTCGTCCAAAGCATCTCATCCGTGACATCTCACTCCTGACGTCGTAATTGATGTGATCTCCTTCTTGTCCCATCCCTTTTTTCTTAATTTAATTAATCTATTTATTGTTGCTTTTGGGAGTGCGTGTGTACAGGCCGGAACACAAATTGTATTCAGTAAGTGAATTTGGTTCACTATCATAAACTCTCATTCACTTAAAATCAAAAAGCGACTTTACTCGACAATTAAAGAATCGCTCTCTCTCTCGAGACTACAATAGGTTCATTTAATCCGTGGTAAAGAGGTATGTGCCTTTACATAATATGTTTCTCTCGATCGGTGAATCAAGTATAGAATAGACACGTTTTCCGCGTTTTGTAATGTGCTTTCACTACAAAAAAACAAGGGTTTTTCAACGAATTTTCCCACGAAAAATTTGACAAAATTCGTTGGAAAACGAATTTCCAACGAAATTAGCAACGAAAAAAAATTCTTTGGTAATTCGTCGTCGCAAATTTTTGCGACAGAAAATTTAAATTTTCGTTGGTAATTTGTGACGAAATTTTTTCGTCGCAAAATTCGTGGCAAAATTTGTTGGAAAGTTCGTTGCTAATTATTCGTTGCAAAAATCGTGGTAAACTTCGTCGGTAATTATTCGTGGTAAAATTCGTGGCAAAACGAATTTCCGACGAAAAAAATTCGTCGCTAATTCGTCGTCGGAAATTTTTGCGACAAAAAATTTTATTTTTTCATTGGTAAATTCCGACGCAAAAAAATTCGTTGCAAAATTCGTAGATAAATTCGTGGCTAAATTTGTTGGAAAATTCGTTGCCAAATTCGTTGCTAATTATTCGTTGGAAACATCGTGGCAACATTTGTCGCCAATTATTCGTGGCAAATGAATTTCCCACGAAATTAGCGACGAACAAAAAAATTTCCCACGAAATTAGCAAAAAAAAATTTGAATTTTCGTTGGTAATTTGTGACGAAAATCAATTCGTGGCAAAGTTCGTTGCAAAATTTCGTGGCAAAATTCGTCGCTAATAATTCGTTGGAAAAATCGTGGATAAATTCGTCGCTAATTATTCGTGGCAAAATTCGTGGCACGATGAATTTCCCACGAAATTAGGGCCGAAAAAAAATTCGTCGCAAATCGAATTTTTGCGACAAAAAATTTCAATTTTCGTTAGTAATTTGCAACGAAAACAAATTTCGTGACTGAATTTGTGGGAAAATTCGTTGCAAAATTTGTCACTAATTAGTCGTCGCAAAAATCGTGGGAAATCGCGAATTTTTCCGACAAAAAATTTCAATTTTCGTGGGTAATTTGCGACGAAAAAAAAATTGTTGGCTAAATTCGTGGGAAAATTCGTTGCAAAATTTGTCGCTAATTATTCGTTGCAAAAATCGTGGGAAATCGCGAATTTTTTCGACAAAAAATTTCAATTTTCGTTGGTAATTTCCGACAAAAACAAAATTCGTGGGAAATCGCGAATTTTTTTCGAAAAAAAACAAGGGTTTTACCATGAATTTTGCCACGAAAAATTTAACAAAATTCGTTAGAAAACGAATTTCCAACGAAATTAGCGACGAACAAAAAATCGTCGTTGCAAATTTTTGCGACAAAAAATTTCAATTTTCGTGGTAAAATTTCGTGGCAAAAACGAATTTCCGACGAAATTAGCAACGAAAAAAATTAGTCGCTAATTCGGCGACGAAAATTTTTGCCACAAAAAATTTTAATTTTTCGTTTGTAATATTTGCGACAAAAACAAATTCGTGGCAAAATTTGTAGATAAATTCGTGACTAAATTCGTTACAAAATTCTTCGCTAATTATTAGTTGCAAAAATCGTGACAACATTCGTCGCTAATTATTCGTGACAAAATGAATTTCCCACGAAATTAGCAACGAACAAAAAAATTCGTCGCAAATTTTTTTCAAAAATTTTGGCAGCCAAAAATTTGAATTTTCGTTAGTAATTTGCGACGAAAACCAATTCGTGGCAAAGTTTATTACAAAATTCATGGCAAAATCCGAATTTTTCCATGAATTTAAACATAATCTAATATTTTATTTTTTGATTTTTAACCTAATTAAAAGAAAAATTAATTTCTAGAATTTATATTTAACATTGAGCGCTTAATGTCAAAATATTATAATAATATGAAAATGAAATACATTTATCAACGTTTTCCACAAGAATGACATAAATATTTTTTTTTATAGTACACATAATGAGAGAATAAATAATCTTGCATAATAAATAATGACGACAAAAATGAATCAAAAAAGAATATCATGCTTTTAGCGACAATCCCCAGCATATAAATACTAAACAAAACTACTAAAGATACGGTCCATGTGTGATGCTCACTTCCTGCTCCAGTTTTAACAGATGCCAGTTGAAATGTCGTTGCAACCTCTCATTTGCATAACTTATGCAGAAATTGCCACGACAGCCTCTCTCTGTATATGCTGTACTTCCGAGGTTCTACCTACACCAAAGTGTTATCTTAGCCATAATTTTCTGGAATAGATAGCCAAAAAATAAGAGTAGGCTTCATTAAATCTGCAAATTCACACTGCATCTTCAAATTCCAATACCAAGTTAATCACCATAAAATTTCGTCATACTCATCGAGGCATATCTTACGGATGCAACTCAAAAATGGGCAAGAAGAGAAGTTACAAATATCAAATTCAAAATCCAATAAAATCCCAAAAACTACAAAATGAATATTCAAGAAAGTATACTAGTAGATCAAAGTGCAGCATAAGTATGGCAACCAAAGGTTTTTCATCATCTGGAGCACTTCGTAGATACAAAAGCAGAACATGCATTGCATTGACCATCTCTTCATTGGCCAACTTACCCAAAAAAGATACAACATCCTTCCCTTCATTGGCCAACTTACCCAAGAAAGATACAACATCCTTCCTCCTGTTATTTCAAACAAGAATACTAAGTATCATGCCAAAACAATGTAGAATAGCTTAGGTTCAATCTACTACTACAAGTTCTCGATATGTTTAAGTTACTTCCTCAAAACCAAAACCACACTCTCCAACATAATCAGGGGAGACCAAGGTACTAAAGATACATAGATATATATTATAAAAGGACATCCAGGTATTTCATACCTTGTAATCCCAATCCCTTTACTGTGAACCCATAACTTAGAGAGTCCTCAAGAGGCTATCACCATAATATAACCATACACAAGAAAATGAGACGACAAAGTCCTCAAAGGGGAAAAGAAGCATCTACAGCCTCACCTTCCACATCACCAAGAAACATGTATGACAGTTCACATAAAGAACATGATATAAAGCATCTTTTTTTAAAATGCAGCTCAACTTCTCTAGTCACCCTAGGTAGTACTTAACATTGTGGCAATCTTTGCATGACACCGTGTCGTACTAGAGTTGATCTATTCAAGCCACACATGGATATTTATTATTCAATATGTTTCAATACACAAATAATTATTTAACTTTCTAGATGTGGGAACTAAGGCCATTTTCCGGGACAGTGAAAATAGTTTCATTACTGGACATTTTTCTTTATGGATCTCTCAGCAATAAAGACTAACAAAGCGAAGAGATGATGATTGAAGGAACCAGTCATTCTTTTGACAATAAATACAGGAATTTAGATGCAAAATACTAAATAATACACTTCACATAAGCAGCCCAAACAAATTTGTTTCATATCTGCTCCATTTTATTTCTGCCCAAACCCAATGGCTTCAAGTTGTTGTACCTAATTCAAAATCCAAACTTGGTGAAAAGATTGCAGAATGGTTGTTTTTACTAGAATAAGCTAGCGCCATTAAATTTATGTTGGCATCTCTTAATTGCTTGATTAACTGGCTGCCTAGCTGAGTTGGGACGTAAGGCACCCAGAATCACAATACTGACCTCAACAGATCCTTTGAGTATGCCGCATATGCAATAACAATCTTCAGCAAGTGCAAGCAAAAAGAAAGTACCTCTCATTGCGGTTAAGTTGAGCACCAAAGTAGAAGGCCACAGAGAGCAACCAACAGTCATTATGCACAGCCACCAAAGACAGCCAGTCCTTGCATTTCATTCCATCTCTAGAAAAGGAGCTTTAACATTTGGAGTCCGTAATCAAAACTGAAATACCCATTAAGATATCAAAGCAAAAAATAAAGAATTTCCTTTCAGATCATGAATAAAAAGAACCAACAATAACCTAAAGCACACTTAGCCCCTTTCTTATCAACCCACCACAGCCACTTCCCCAATCAAATTGACCACAGTTTCATAGAAAAATCACCTAACAGCAGTTACCCATTTCCCACATACCTCATCCCACTTCTCCAAAATTGCAGCACAAGCTAAAGTCAAAACCTTTTTCTCTAAAAGGCGCAATCTACCACGAATTTTCCCACGAATTTCAAAAAAATGCATTTATTCTAATATGTTCTATTTTTCCACGAATTTAAAAAAAAACGCATTTATTCTAATATGTTCTATTTTCGTTGAAAAATTAGTGGCAAATTAGCGACGAAAAATGCATTTACTCTAATGTTGAAGGGGGAATGCTTCACTATCTGGTCAAGTTATCAAGTTCTCGTCGGCCAGACGATTCACTGGCGAAGATTATCCCCGGTCATGTTCAAAACTGCCCCTTGGGACAATCATCTTTGACATCCCGATGCCTTGCATCTATTCCATGATAAGACTATCGTACAATACTTTCTTGAGCACACTAATTATTGGCGATAGTCTATTAACTTGAAAAATAAATGGAAAATAGGCTATAACTTCCAAGGTATATTTGAGTGAAGATCAATTCAAACTAGCCAAGAATCGATACAACGCACTCCTTGGTCAAAAATTGATTGCGATAGAGTATCGTCAAACCAAAGTTGGTCCAGAAAGAATAACGTGGTCCAATCGCCTGGTTCAAAAAAATCCCCATTCCAGATGTTTGAGGACTCAGGATAGTCATAAATGACGTTTACGACGATTCTTGGCTCTGCGGAGATTATTTTGAATTATAAGATCGATTAATGAGAGAAATCTGGTCAGTTATTCAATTATAAGATTGATTAATGATTATCCTCACCAGCGGCACTGCAGGGCTCCTGATTCATTGTTCGCGCCACTAACGCTTCCTCAAATCGAACCACAAAGGTCTCACCGGACATGCCAAAAAAGTTGGAAAATATGGAGTGGCTTTGTTTCCACTAGGCAGCGGTAACTTGGTATCCGAAAATATTGAAGGAATGTAAAGCTTAATCCAGGCCTGAAGAATCCAGGAAGGGCCGTAAAAAATGCCAGAAGTATTCTCGTACATATGCAGAGAAGCACGGGTCAATCCCCCTATAAAGGACAGCCAAGACTAGTCGTAGAGTAGATTTTTTAAAAAAAAAATTTCCTTTTTTTTTCATTTTCTCTGTGGATGCTGAGCGGTCCGAAAACATTTGTTAAGTATATTTAATAAAAAATCATGTCCTATGACGTTGAATGCATTAAAACTGAAAAAGAAGAAGATATGGAACAATTTTTAGTAAAATCCTCTTATTTATATTCTCCAAGATTTAGAGGACCATGCTGAGCGGATTGAACTCCCCCCTTCAATAAACTCTTTTACATTAACATCATAAAAATGGAAAGAAGTATGTACCACTGAATAGATGCGTAAGAATTGGCAGAAGTTTTTCTTAATAAAAGAAAAGAAAAAATCAAACTTCAAGCCTTCATCATCTTGCAGACCGAATGCACAATCATGCAAAAATCGTGCATGACGACAAAGGAATTTTCTCGACTACCGATAGAACTAAGAAATTATTCATTTCCTTTTCCTTTGATATGCATATAAGTGCTTCCAAAATTGATTTTTTCTCAAATATTTTTGATGGATACGCAGGAAATTTGTAATTTCGAACAACCCACTTATCGAGATAAATCGAACGAAATGAATCCAACATAGAGCTTGTTCAATTGATTGCTCTGACCGGCCATGCATCCTCTTAGATGGTTGGGCAAGAAAAGAGGTGACAGAGTAATAATCATTCACGAAACACTTCAATCTTTCGCCAGCGAGCTGAGTGTGTCGGCACATTTGTTAAACCTATTTTAGTACAAAAAACTTAACCATTCAAAGTATCGCCAGCTAAAAAGAGAAACAGCCATTGTGCTATGAAAACATAACGAATTTTTTTATTGAAGTAAGCGAAACATGCATTCCTCAATTTTCAAAGTGTATTGATATGCGGTATTATCGCGTTCAGTGATCATGACTATTGTCTTTAAGATATTCATGAATAACACCCTTATTATTATTATTATTATTATTTTCACCTATGTGTTGCTCTTAGGTCCTATAATCAAAACTCTTCATACGATCCGATTTATTGCACTTCTCCGATTGATTCCAATATGAACACTATCAACAATACTTTCCCCTGAAAATATTCACTAATTTGATCAACTATTCCTTCACTGCTGTACCAAAAGGAAGCTGTACACTAACAGGAACTTTACACCAACTTCACATTTCCCCTCCACCGGTTTGGAACGCTCAAAACGAGTAAATTATCTTATTCACCTGGGATCAAATGACCCTGACCAGTGACCGTCGACCGTAGACCGAACGTCAATGCAGCCCCGCAGCGCCGTCGGGCAAACCCCACCCTTCGCTTCTCCAGGTCGTAAACCACCTCAAAACCCCGTTGCCGATAATTCCCCATGGTTGCCTCGGGCCTGCCTTCCGCCTCGGCCTCATCCCCACCGTTCATCAGCATCAAGCACCCAACTCGCGACCGCCTCCTGCTGCCGTTGCCGCCGTCCATGAAGTCGTAGAGATAATTCCTCCTGGGAAGCACCACCTCTGGACCCCTGCCCCACGAAATGCAATGTAACAGGAGGCGCGCTCGTCATTGCGTCGCTGTCGAAGTAGCAGCACGGGCTCAGCCCGGTCTTGTCTTCTATTTCTCTCGCTTGCTTATGGACTCGGCTGAGCCGTCGCTCAAACTTGGCGACCAACGAGCCGTACAGGCCCGCAGGCAGCATGGTGAACGTCGTCCCCGAGTCGACCACCATTCTGCCATTCCCGTGGCCGTCCACTGCCCTCAATTTCTCCGCGGCCGGAATATGCTTCCGGTCCACGGATATCCCCTGCAGCCTGATGCAGTAGAAGTACCGATGCTTCGGGTTGTCGAGCATCTCGGCTACACGAACTCCGCCTCGTCATTGCTAAACGCTTTCTCCTTCCGCCCTAGGATGAGAGGGCTCGGCCGGCAAACTCGGTATGGAAATGGAGTGGCGATACAGGGTGGCAGTGAAGCTGCCGTCTCCGTCGGCATAGTAAAAGGATGGGCAAGAGAAGGAGGCAGAGTCTGGAGATTTTGTTGGACTCAAGGGCGCAGCAAGCAGCAGCGCAGAGGTCGGAGGAGGAGAGAGAGGAGTGAGCGGCCGCGCATGCAGGTGGAGGAAAGGTTGAGGGTAACGACGGGGTTGTGGCGGTTGGGGTTGGGGTTGGGCTTGCCCTCGCAGAGGATGCAGTTGAAAGGAGAAGGGAACCAGACGAGGTCGCTGCTAACTGTCCATGAAGATGTAGTTCAAAGCTACGTTGTCTTCTCGCTGTAGCCGAAAGCTTGAACGATTTGAATATTGATTTAAGCATTCATTGCCGCGGCTCCTCAGCGTTCCTGAGACGTGCATTTCTTGCTCTGCTTCTCTTTATTCTGCGGCGGTGAGAACTGAAGATCTGAGATCTCGTCTAAAAATTTCCATCGCCAGTTGTGGTTCTGTTCCTAGACGGTGGTGAGGGCTCCGGTCACCAAATCGAGCGTCGCTGATAAACCAGGTACTCCCGATTATACTCTGTTTTGATGAATCGAAAAGAACCGAAATGATATACTCTGAATCAATCTGGAATCGACTCCATCCATTCGCGTGTATTTTTTTAGCAATTACAGACATCGTTGGCTGATTTTGTTTTGGATTTGGACTCTAATCCAGGGTCATTGTGCTTTTCTGTCATTCCTTCACTGATTGCATATAACTTGCTTGATAAAATGCCTCTGAGAATATGAATCCAAATTGGTCCGAGATTTTGCCTGACTAGAAAATGTGCTCAACATGTTGATGTAGATAGCTTAGCAGTGATTGATTTGTTATAGTCCCAACTTAATCTCACTCATATTCATCATCACTGAAGACGAATCTGATCATTTCATTTTTGATCCTTTGGTGCTCGGTGTGCTCTCGCGGTGATTGAATGGCCGCCGTCGGAGAGGAGAACAAGCCAAAGTTATTAATGTGCACCGTGGCCGATCTCGGATTGTTCCATATTAGTCAGCTCGCCGGCGACGATGGCTATGGCGTCGGTCTGGTGGTCGAAGGTGATTGCTACTTGGACTTGCAAAGTCCATCCTCGATTGTGATACGCGGACCGGGCTCAAAGGCCTGGCCTGCGTCCTTGTGAAATCCTTGTTAGGCATTATCCGCATTTCTGAATTAATAAAAATAAAAATAAATCCGAAAAATAGAAGAAAAATTAGAAAATTGGTTAGAAAAATAAATCTTTATTAGGTTGTTAGATTTCAGCATTACAATTAATTTAGTTTCATTTATATAATACTTACGAAAATTCATGACTTTCTCTGGTTTTTTTTTGGGTCAGATACTTTCTCTAGTTTAGACATAAGAAATTTAGTTTCTTTAGAAAATTGAATTTGATTTGAACTAAGCTCATGGAGGTTGCTGTCCCGGGCTTAATAACGAGGCCGTGTCATATTATTTGCCCGACTCTTATCGGGTTACCTTACTGCACTTTACCCTTTTAGTCGCTCTTCATTACTTTCTTATACCAATTGATTGTGATTCTTTTATATTGTTTTCCTATGTTGTGATTTGCTTTCTTTAGCCGAATGGTTAGGTTACCGTTTCTAGGATCATAATAAACACCAATAAAAAATCTCATGGACACCTAACAGGCGAGATCTTATGATTCATAATTTTGTAAAAAGACTACTTGGACTAACAAATAATCAAGTTTAGGTATCGAAGATCATTAGTTAGATAACTAGCGAAATCAAGTCCCCGACCCTACATTTCTAGTTGTGTAGGAAGTGAGGTATGCTCCTATAACTCATTTGGTTTCTAGCCCACCCCACTAGGCTAGTAGCGACACCTCATTTATAATTCTTGTAGGATTAATTGAAACTAAAATTGACTATTCAAATGTCGCGCAAGGTAAGGGTTTAGGAGAACCCGTGCCGAGTGAGGACCGTTGGTCCACCTTTGGCATTACTTCTAAGCCCGTCCTTTCACCGACGGAAAGAAGGTGATGACGATTAGGTCCTTTGTTCTTCTTTGCATAAATAGGATAGACCATCAAGCCATTAACTCAAATA